CTGGATTTGATTATTGTTATTATTGTGATTATCATCATGATTATTATCACCGTTATTCCCCATACTATTAACATTTCCTTAGCATCATTATCATCATTATTATCATCATTATCAACATTATCATTATTATAATCATTAGCATCATTATCATTATCATCATTTTCATTATTATCATTGTTATAGTTATCATCATTATTATCATCATTATTACTAGTAGTAGCAGTATCATGAGCAATACTTTCATATTGAGAGAGAACATTGATAAAATCATTTCCTTGCTGACAGGTGTAATTCAGGTGCTTGCAGTTGGAAGTTAGGCTCTGAACGCCAGACAATTATCGGAATCGTTGGTCAAAAATGATCACTAAAATCCTGAAATGAACTGTAGCGTATGAAAAAGCCTCTTCCTTTTTTAATGATATAGCAAGATGAAAGAAAACTAAAATGATCTGTGTTAATGCGAGAAGGTCGACTTTTAGGCAGAAAGGATGTAATTTTATTCGAGCGTGAATCATCCAAATTCATAAAATGTATGATGCAAATTTAGATAAATCATGATAGTAACTTTACTGAAGGTTAGATTTTTTCTGTTTCCTTGTTCAGATTCAATAACACTGAGTTCGCATGATGGTATTTTAGGATGCGTTGTCGCCCGAATTGTGCATTTTCCGTCTGCAAACTGCTCTCACATTCGTTTGGATTCCGATGAACATGCGAACCTCTCTCGTTCTTTCTCTTTCTCGCTTTCGGTCGTACCTCATTCTCTCTCTCTCTCTCTCTCTCTCTCTCTCTCTCTCTCTCTCTCTCTCTCTCTCTCTCTCTCTCTCTCTCTCTCTCTCTCTCTCTCTCTCTCTCTCTCTCTCTCTCTCTCTCTCTCTCTCTCTCTCTCTCTCTCTCTCTCTCTCTCTCTCTTCTCTCTCTCTCTCTCTCTCTCTCTCTCTCTCTCTCTCTCTCTCTCTCTCTCTCTCTCTCTCTCTCTTTCTCTCTCCACCCATCTATCTCACTCTCGCTCTACGGAAAAGTAAAAGAAGGAAAGAAAACGAAGAACAAAAAGTGATTCCCATATTCTCACTCGCGAAGGGACGCGACTTGCTCTCTCTCTCTCTGTGCGCATTACGCCATTCCTTTCGTTCCTTTCCTCCGTTGAGTTTGTTGACCTGAAATAGTTGTGTGTCTGCATTCAAAGTCGATTTCACGAGAAAGTTTTTCGTAATAAGAGACCCCGGGTATATCATTTTTTCTTTCTTTCTTTTTTATTTTTGCTAGGAGGCACATTTTCACCGCGCGTTCGCATAACATGTCGACGTGTGGTAAGAACGGGTGACGTCATCCTAGCGCTCCAGTATTCACATGATAACAAAGTCTGGAATTCACTACAAAAGTTTTTTTTTTTTTTTTTAAGGTAACATACCTTGAGTTTTGTCACTCGAATCCTTGCAACTTTTCTTTTCGTGTATGTGGGGTGAAGATGAAATGAAATACAGAAATATATCCAGGATTCGGTCATCCGCGAATGATAATGAGACAGGTGTTCGAACCATCTGGCCCGCTCGCCATCTGGGACTGCATACATCCAGCAAAAAGCATGTAACAGATTACGCTTACATGATAGCTAAAGCCACTTATCACCTACTTGCACTTGCTAAGCAGTGGTGAATAGTAACGTGATAACTAGACTCAATTTCATAGTTGGAAAGGTATTGAGATAATTGTGTCATTGAGTTGCCTATATGAATCTTTGTTCCGCTGATTATAGGCGTAAAATCTGATGAATTTAAGTCAAAATAAGTTCTTAATTTAAATACAAAACGAAAATGAAATTTATAAGTCTAGCAGCATATATCACATACGAAAATGATTTGAAATTATAAGTCTAGCAGCGAGGAAATGTTTACAATATATATCACATATTTTCCGTAAGAGTTATTTGAAAAAGAATTATATGAATTTGATAGAATTTACAAAATGAAATAAGAATTGTAAAAGTTTTATGAGATCTATAAATGAATATGATATAATTACAAGAGAAATATCGATAACGACTGCAACCCAATGAAACTGACAGTAATAGAAGAAATGAACACGGAAATACACATTATTACAATAACAATTACGTCAACGATATCTGAAATACATTAATCTCCCTTGCCACTCTCTGCGCCCTCCTGCTTTACATCGCCTCCCAACCCCACCCACCCCCATCCCACCCCCTCCCAGCCCCCATCCCACCCCATCCAACCCCATCCAACCCCATCCCAACCCATCCAACCCCATCCCAACCCCCATCCCACCCATCCCAACCCCCATCCCCCCCCCACCCCCACCCATCCCAACCCCATCCCAACCCATCCCAACCCCATCCCAAAACCCCATCCCAACCCCCCATCCCAACCCATCCCAACCCCATCCCAACCCCATCCCAACCCCCACCTCCACCAAGTAAGCCGTTTCTATCAGTTGTAACTCCTATGACCCTTTTTCCTTCATGTCAAACTATAACTCAGTCCCAAACTAATCCAGTTGATTAAAACCTCACTTTAAAAAATGACTAAAAACCGCCTGAAAAGAAAATAACACCCACTCTCCTTTATTATCTTGTATTATTTTCCTATCATGGAACAACCTAGATGATACTCTCTATTTCCTGTAAACTCACCCCTTCTCC